TTTATCGGACATGAATCGTGATAAAGTTACGTACCATGCCACATATACCAATAAAAATACCGTTTGTGTGCATGTTCTCACGGCCAAGTGCGGTCTAGCATGTTTCGGCGCCTTGCCACCCTCCAGCACACCGTTGTCCTCCTCGGACGCCTCGGTCCCCGTCCGGGCGTCAAGCTCGGTCCCTGCCGCTCCGCCCGCGTCTTTCTCTGGCCCAGGCCGCCGCTTCCATCACACTGGCCGGCGATTGATCGATTGTCCGTCTGGCGCGGCGTCACCTGCGGCCGTCGCCTTTGGCGCACGACCGTCCCTGCGCCGGCACCGGAGCGGACGGTGTCACTTTTACCTTCACATCCACACATTTCCATGAAGAAAACGATTAGCGCTCGGAGCGTGCGTGAAAATCCGGGCTAAGTGAAACGGCATCGACTTGCTGATGGCTGATGGCAACCAGGGTCGGCCGGCCAGACAGGCGGGGTTGGCCCGTCTGGCCGGAACGGGGAGCGGCGTGCTAACGTGCGCCACTGTCGTGTGGCCGCGTCCGACGAGGCCCGCCCAGGTCTGGCGCGCGCGTGACCCGTCCGGCTGGTCATCGGCTGCCATTTCAACCGCTGCATGTCGATTCCGACTCGTACTCGATGGCGCAATGGTCCCGTCCCTGTCCAAGACTGAATCATTCACGGACCGGGAGGCACGGCTTGACGGGGTGGCCCCAGAGCATTACCGCCGCCGACAACTTTGTCCGAGCGGTCTTTTTTTCTCTGTCTTCAGGCCAGGAAGGTGAGCAGACGCGCCTCTGCATGTATAAGGGGGCGCGCACCTCTGCTATCCTGGCCTGACCAGTTACGTTACTTACTGATCGGTCCGAGAACAGCTCACCACGACGCGCGATATCGAGGCATTAGTCCTCCGCAGGAAGGCAGCAGGACTCCGTAAAAAAACTCCAAGATCCCGCATCGCAAAGCTGACAAAGGCACATGAAATGCAACGATGCCAATAGCAAAATTCTCCATTTTTGTCTGTTCTATTGTTGCAAACATGTTCGAGACAACGCAGCGACAGAACGGTCTTCATTCGTCGCTCGCTTACTGTGCGTGTCCCATGCCGCTGGTCCGGTTGTCGCTCGTAAAGAGAACTGCCTCCAATGGTTACCTCAAACGCCCTTGGGGTCAAAGGGCACAGGTCACGTTTGTACGTACCGTCAGCACGGAACAAAACATACATAATGGGCTGGAACCAGCTTCAGCGGAAGGTTTCAGCAAAACGCTAACAGGGGCACCTGTCTTGGTGCACAGCTAGATTATCAATCAAGCATTTAGTGGATGGAATGCGGACACCATGGGACCGGCTGGTGCTGCGAACGACACATTACCCTTCCACGTGGCTTCATTGCGAGCATCTTTGGTGGACGGAATGCGGACACCATGGGACCGGCTGGTGCTGCGAACGACACATTACCCTTCCACGTGGCTTCATTGCGAGCATCTTTGGTGGACGGAATGCGGACACCATGGGATCCGGCTGGTGCTGCGAACGACACATTACCCTTCCACGTGGCTTCATTGCGAGCATCTTTGGTGGACGGAATGCGGACACCATGGGACCGGCTGGTGCTGCGAACGACACATTGCCCTTCCATCCGCATGGCTTCATGCGAGCACCTTCATGCCAGGAAATTAACATTGTAAAAGATTCCGAGTCGACCTAAGCCTGAAACCACGAGTGAGCGATTACAAGGCGGGCGCTTTACGCGGAGACCACTGCACCCGGAGTCTGGCAGCCCAGCAATCCAAAAATCGGCGGAGCGCAGTACGGACATCTGTACTTGCGACACACAGAACATGCGTCAGTTGGTGAGGAGAATGTGGAGAAATCGCAGGAACTGAATGAAACCAGTGTCATTTCATCTGTCCAAGGAGAGCCATTTGTCTTGTCTTGTCTTGTCCAGTTTCGTTTTCATCCGAATTCCCATAACAAAAGGCAATGAGGCTTTAAGAAAACGTGCATTCAGCAGGACATGTGGGCTTCACCATTGTCGTTAAATAGACGATGTAGTCCTGAACTGGAAACTCTGTGTAGAGTAACCTGAATTGATCAACCAAAAAGCTCAAGTATACTTGGAAGGACTGTTTCTGCTTCAGACTTTCAGCCAGATGGGATTGCAACGGGACATTTGTATTTTCCGTAATGCTTCCATACGGTTCCATACGGTTATTCGTTGCCATTTTTCATGTTATGCAATATAAGGACACAGCGGCATGGCTACCACGTGAACGCACATGTAGACGCTCGTGACTGAATCGCGCGCGCCCTCAACGCCTTTCGTTCCGCTCGACTTGGCGACGGCGGCGCGGCGTGCGACCTTCTCAGCCGCTGGCCACTCCCTCACACCCTGGGACCGCGTCTCGGCGCGTCTCGTCGGCCCTTCGCGCCGGCCCGGCCGGCAGCCGCCCGACGCCCGGCAAGGACGCCGGCCATGGGAACTGGCCGGCAATTGGGGCCGGCTGCAGCGTAATTGGGGCCCGCCGACCGGTTACGCTCGGAGCATCGCCGTCAGCCAGACGGCCGGCCGACCCGCCGATGTATGCCAGCTACCAGCCGTCAATAAAGCCGCTGCAGGTGCAGCCCGGTGACGTGGCGTCACCGTGAGACAAATGTCGGAAAGTGGCGGACGGGCGACGCGAGGAGCAGTCCAGCGGGGGCGGCCGGCCATGGAACTCGCAGTACGCCACGCTACCCACAGATGGTTCTGCCCGCGCGAGCACGGCGGTATTAGGGTCGTGCACGGTTTCTGAAAGCGGCCCACTGTCGAGGAATGCGGTCGTTAATTTGTGGGCGTGCTGGAGAGCAGAGATGCGCGCTGCGCACGGCAGGCCGGCGCGGCGCGAGGGGCCAACGCAAACACTCCCCCTCCGCCCCAGAAGCCGGGCACGTGGTGCGAGCGGTTCGGCCACGGTCGCTCCAGGTACTGGACGGCACGGCATGCTCCGTCAGTTCTCAGCAGTGACGCAGGCCACTGCAATCGGCGTCACGTGCCGCGGCGTAGGGTCGACAGCCCAGTTCACCACGTCGTTAAATTCATGACAGGAGCGATCAACGCCGCGGCTGCATGCTGAAGGTGCCAGTTGGGTCGTTTGAAAAGGCCAGTTATCATTCATGAGCTTAGAGAAAATTCTGATACGTCATGTCAAATTCCGTAAACATGTCGCACCCGAGTTAACGCTGACCAGCTCCAACAATAGGAGACATGTGAGCATGCTTTATCAGACACCTTGCAGCCGTGACCTCAATGGCCCATGTGACACGATCGCTCAGCGACGGCGGAATGTACGACGACGACAAGCGTCACTTCGGCCTGGCCACCCGACACAGGCAGGACATGCGCGACCAGAGCCAGAACGAGTCGTCACCGCCGCCTATCCGACCGTGTATATCCGACGTAGGACTAGAATGGAATATGAATCACAGTAGCCACGCGAAGATCGAAACCAACTGCAAACCAATAAAATGTTCAAGAAAGCCCAGTTGCATTGCGTGATCACTATATCATTTGCGTGGTTCGGAGAAAACCCGGCAATAATTGTTACAAAGATCCTTTTTTGTTCATGTCCATACACAAACAATTTGTCAGGAAGGATCCAGAACTGAGAGTGTTTTAAACGAAGGAAAGTGAAATCTCGCCCTTCATCACATGCCAGCGTACGGGGATCATGCCCACAGGGTAATGGAGCGCAGCAGAGCGTGCCTCCCGGCTGGGCGCGGCCGGGAGCGGGCCACCGGTGGGCGAACGGAAGGGCCGACCCCGGTCCGGCCCGGTCCGACCCGGCCCGGCTGCAGCGGCGGCCCATTAGTCCACTCGGCGTGCCCCTCCCTGTCAGCCGTGCCGCCCGGCGGCGGCGGCGGCCGAGAGGGAGGCCGTCACCCCGGCCGAGCCGGCCGCACGCCCCGACTGACCGGCCATTACGGGCGCGGCGAGAGGCGGGAGGCAGGGGCGGAGCGAGGGCCAGGCAGGAGAGACATCTAGGGCGGAGAGAGAGGTAGAGAGACAGGGAGAGGGGTGGGGGAGGGAGGGAGGAGAGAGAGAGAGAGAGGGAGAGAGGGAGAGAGGGAGAGAGGAGAGAGAGAGAAGAGAGGGAGAGAGGGGGGATGAAAAGGAACGGAAAAGAATGGAAAAGGAGAGAAAGATGGGGCGGAAACAGAAGGTTGAAATATCGCGAGATACGCCGAGGAACGGAGACTGATAATATAGAGCGGAAGACGGTAATCTCGTTTTCGCTGGTTATCCTAAGTGTATGAAGCCAGAATGACACTTCATTTTGTTTTGGCTGTGGCGGCTAAATAAAAGAGAAACAAAGCTTGCTGCTTTACGGATATAAAGGACAAACTGAGCAGACGTCACAAAGTCAATATTTCAAGTCAGAACCGCCCTTCGCAATGCACCCTAGTGAACCGCAAAGCCCTTGTTAGGCGAAGTCTGTCCAGCAGACAGAGAAGGCTGGCCTCCGCCACAGCCAGCAAGGACAGCCGGCTCAGGGGAACAAGGCGGTATTCTTTGAATGTGGTGTGATAAGATCATTAGAAGCACGTGCTTTTGAAATTTATGAGCGTATAATCGAGGCAACTCAGCGACAGCAGCTACCGGTGATAGCACAATCAAAAATTATATGTCCTTACTACGTTCAACAAAAGCCCATGGGATGCCGTATTATTTCACCTACCTGGGTGAGACGGGATACGAACGGGACACGGACGGGCGGACTAGGTATTAAGGCAGACAACGAAAAGGAACTGCACATTGCACGGGAAATAAATGAAAGAAACGGACAGCAACTCAATGCGATGAGATGTAATAAAACGTCCGCGGTAGCTGCGACCTCATCTCACTTCACGCCTGACAATTCCATCACACCCCAGCACCAGCACCAGCACCAGCACCAGCACCAGCAACAGCACTAGCACCAGCGCGCCGCTGGCCGGCGCCGCCTGGGCGTATTAGTACTCACCATCGGATCGTCTGCTGCTGCAGCGGTGACGGCGCGACCGGCGGGGTCGGTGCGCACCTCGTCCGTGTGCCGCTCCAGCGAGCGCACGAAGCGACCCGCCTCCTGGCCGCTGACCATGCGCGCCAGCTCCGTGTCGGAGCCGCGCCACAGCCGCGCCGTCGACGGTCGGCCGGCGCCCGCCGCGCCCACGCCGCGCAGGTCCTCCAGGCTTCGCACGTAGCTGCACTCAGACGACTTGCAGCTGTTGGAGTGCTGCAGCGGCTGAGCGCGCCGCTCAGGCCGGCTGGCCGCCGCGGCCGGCGGCAGCAGCGGCGGCGGTGGCGGCGGCGGCGGCCCCATAACGCCCTGGCTGCCCACGCGGTGGATGCGCAGCCGCTCGCGCTCCACATCCACCACGAAGATGCGCTCGGTGGGGTGACCGTCGTCGCGGAAGCCGATGCCGGAGTCGCTATTGCTGGAGTTGCTGCTGGTGTTGCTGTGCTGTGGCGATGCCGGCTGCAGCTCAGGGTCGGCCATGCCCGGCAGCACGCGGTTGCGGTACAGACTGAGGATGGCCTGCAGGATTGGCTCGGCCGAGTCGGGGAACGCCTGGCAGCGCGCGGCGCCGCCCGCCGAAGGCCCGGCGCACTGCACGCCAAACGTGCGCGCCCGGCGCGCGTGGTCGGCATGCGCTACCAGCTTCGGGTCCACCATGAACACGTGGCACGAGCTGGACACGGGTGGCGGCGACGACTCGTCCTGGCTCTGGTCGCTCATGTCGTCGTGCTTGTGTACGGTGACCAGGCCGAAGAAAGCGTTTGTCGTCGGCGTAGATGCCACAGAAGGTGATGCGGTCGGCGGGGGTATACGGCCAGCGCCCAGCCGTGTGTGTTAGACAGCGACACACGGCTGGGAAACACCGACATCAGCACCACCGTGTGCACCTTCTTCTCGACGCGCAGCCGGCGAATGCAGTTGCGGATCGCCTGCAGCCGGGAGCCGGCCACGTCCTTCTCCTTGGGCATCTCGATGGTGCCCAGGTAGCCGACGACGGCCCGGAACAGCGCCGGGTCCTGCTCCGGCGGCCGCTCGCGCTGCAGCTGCTCCTGCAGCGTCGGGTACACCAGGCCGCTGACGGCCTGCTCAGCCGCGCCCGGCCGCTCGCCGCCGTGGCCGGCGCCGGGCCGGACGCGGCGCGCCGCCGCTCGGCAGCCGGGCGCCGGCGCCGTCGGCTGCAGGAAGCCGTCCGGGTCGCGCGGCGGCGGCGGCGGCCCGGGCACGCGGCGCGCCGGCTCGTCGTCGTCCCAGCTGCAGGCGGGCGAGCCGCGCCCGCCGCCGTCGTGGCCGCCGCCGCCACCGCCGCCCCCGCCGGCGTCGGCGCGCGGCGCGCCGTGCCGGTGGCGTGCGCGGTGCGCCAGCTTGTGCTTGCTGCGCGAGGCGAGGCACGCCTCGTCCTCCGAGCTGTCCGTGTAGTAGTTCTCGGCGATCTGCAGCCGGAGCGTGGTGAGCGTACCGCCGATCAGCTGCACCACGTCGTCGTGCAGGCTGGCCGCCACGTTCTGTCCGTTGACGGCCAGCAGGTAGTCTCCGGGCCGGAGGCCGGCCGCGTCCGCCGGGCTGGCCGCCACCACACAGCTCAGCAGGCACGGCGCCTGGCCGGAGATGGTGAAGCCGAACCCGTTGGCGCCGCGCTGCACCTCGGCCGTGCGCACGCCGTAGCTGGGCCGCTTCTTGCGCCGGCGCGTCGGGTGCATCTGTCGGCAGCGGAGTCGGTCACGAGCCCGGTCGCCGGGGGTCGCGCGCAAGCGTCTCATTGAGATTGGCTGTCAACTTTGTGTCATGGGAAATGATTCTCTTAGAGTGTAGATGCTCTACGGTTATAGTTATCCGTGGAAAAATAACTCAAAATGTATGACTTTCCCGTGACAACGACAAAATGTAAGCCTTTCAAGTCAGATGCCGCTTGCAAAGTTGGAAGGATGCATTGCAAAACTCTGGAGCGTCAGCCACGATACATTCAAGAAAAAGACCCATTGGACCATATTCTGAGACCCACAGAAGCAAGCAAGGCCCGAAGCCGTTGAAAGTTCTTAAAACAATCAACCTTTAAGATACCAGAAGGCATTGGTAAAACGCTGTTGTAAAGCAAGCATTGGTTCTATCGAGAAAACTCGACATTTTAAAGCTCTGTTCTGGTCACGTGTCCCCTCATCATGCGCGCGCTTCAAACAGATCGATTACTCTCAATAAAAAGCTTTTAGCTGAAAGGGATGAAAAAATAATTAAATGTCTTTCTTGCCTTAATGCAGTTAATGGTCGATGACCATCATATGTGGCCTTACTACATGGCCGAGCCGTCCATGACCCTGCCCCGTGATCGTCCCCTTTACTCCCAGCTGAATGACAGCCTTACAGCCTTCAGAAGTCCTGGCCCAGTCATCCGTGGCCCTGCCTGTGATCGTCTCGCTTTACTGCAGGCTGAATGACAGGCTTCGAAGCTTTCAGACAACCAGGTCCAGTCGCCCATGGCCCTGTCCTGTGACCATCCCACTTTACTACTGGCTGAATGACAGGCTTTGAAGCTTTCAGACATCCATGTCTTTGAAGCCTGCAAAGGCTGACTCCTGGTCACTGAACTTGGGATAAAAAATTATTCCTGGTCAAGCCACCTGTGGTCAGAACCCACTGAAGCCTGAGCGGAGTGAAAGCCTTTTCTTAAAAAGCACACAGATTGCATAATAAGAGTGACATGGTTTCACACTCCATGTGTTCAAAAGACTGCTTAGTGATGTCCCGTGCCTATTTGGCCTGGTGACTGAGGCTGTCGCTTGCTTGCAGCATTCCAGGGCATCATCCCAATGATCCACACGTGTTTCTCTAAAGGGACCTGTGACATGGATGTTGCATGCATAGAGGCGCCATAAAAGTGAGCATGATGAGGGCCTTGCAATGACCAGGGTTTTATGTGCTGTATTTGTCTGCAGGTAAGAGCCAGCGCAAACACTCAACCAATTGGGGTCAGATAGCTTGTGATTCATCCCAGACTGGCCTACCACATTGTGATACAGCTGGGTGTCACCTGAGAGCAGTAAGATGCTCCCATTTATGCACAAGGCACTCACTCACTCAGAGATGAGATAATCTGTCACCAGCAGCAGCCCCTGAAGAGCATCACTGCTGATGGAGGCCTACTGCCTTTGGATTTATTAATGACTATCCATTGCTCTCTCCCAGTCAGGAAGTCCTCCATCCATTTCAGGTGATACCCACATACACTGAAGTCATGCAGCTTTTTTACAGTTGCTAGTGCAGGACCATCAGGAGCACATCCAAAATCAAGGTACCAAACATCCACTGGAAAAACATGCTTAACCAGCAAGCACCAACCCCTAATCCTTCATGATGGATAAGGGTGTGATGTGAAGCTCCATGGGCATGTAAATTAATCATTAAGCTGCATAGTTATTGGCAAGATACAACTAACAATTTGAACTCAGGCTAATTCCACACATGCTCATAATTCAGTGAAAATATGATGCAGTGGAAATTTAAGCTAAGAGCATATTTGGGTCTGACAAAGTAAAGTAGCTGAGTTGTGCACCACTGTGAATAGCATATTGTCAGTCAAACAACTGGTTATCTTTCATATAGGCTAAGGTAAGATCAATGTGTCAGAATCTCTCATCATAAATCAGCTATGGCTATGTCATCTGCATTATATCTTATGAGCTATAATGTCATCTGCAACTTGTGTTCATGCACAAATACCTTACTGCTCATTTTGGGGACTTAATGTGGCTTATGAATAAGCCAGTAAACACATAGTAGGATGGGTTACACAGTAACTAAGTTCATGTTATACAATTATTTCAGGGTTAACGACCCTGATCTGGTGAGATCGTCCGTTTGCCAGCTTGGCAGATCCGCCACTAAAATTTGATATTCATTTACCAGCCAAACCCCCAGAAGCAGCATTAAAGTAAAAAAGCAAATGAATTGCTTTATTTTTGTTTTGCAAGAAAGTAATGAGTATAACCACTGCTATCATTTCATGCTTGGTATTTCAGCTTGTAACTGAATGGCACAAACAACAATGGTTTCCAAATCACCAGGTTTTGCTAAAATGTGATACAATCCAAGAATGAAGTACACAGCTGAATGCAATGGAACAGAAATGAGGATGATCAGTTTTCTGGTGTCTACAGTAAAACAAAAATGCTTGGCTCATATTACCCTGAAAACTTTGCCATCTGTAAAGGCAAGTGTCTTCCAATGGTGAGCAATGCAGTGTGCTGCTTTGGAGCCATACCACAAAAATGTAAAACATGTAGTAATGATTTCAGCACATATACATCATCAATTGGTGCTCAAAGTTTGGTGCAGTCACCACCAATCTCAGAGCACAGGACCAGTTTTGCACGGAACTGTGATGTTGCAAAAATACTCTCTGGCACACATATTCCAAAAACACTTTGTCACACCAAACTAATTTGAAACATCAATAACATCTGGCCTGGTTTGGGTTTAGCATAAACAGGTAAGAGGTTCAGTACACCATGTGTCCTGCCATGGACACCATGGATGTGTGCTACACCTTATGTGCTACACCTTATGAGCTGTCTGCACAGCTGAACCCGTGGAACCATGCTGGTACCATGCTACTGTGCAGACCAGGGTGAACACTTTTTCTTATCTAATTTTTGGTAATGCTTGTCACTTCCAGCTTAAGGTAAATATTGTGTGGAATAAAGCCAGGGCTATGCTTGGGAATGCAGCACTGTTAAGCTGTTCAATTAATAAGGTGGGGTGAGCCCTATGTAGGTTATGTTAATGTCTTCTAAGGAGCACATTCTGCAGTAAAACAATGGCCTATACAGGTGAGTAGCCACTGGTTGACCTTGCATGAGAACATATGCAGAATCACATGTAGCTGACCTTCACATGCTAGAACACAATTGATTTGGTATAGTTATGTTAATAAACTGAGCTCCAACTTAATATGCATTTCCCGCTGTTGGAGTATATTAATATACAATACTTGTCAGCTGTTGCCCCTGCCATCTTGCTTTCACAATATCCCAAAAACAGAAGTTTGTGTATATTGGTGTCATCCAAGGCATTGTCACGTTATCCACATAGGATCTTTCCTGCCACCTCAATTTTTTCCAACACTATTCATCCATTACAGTTCAAGTCTGGTGCCAGTTGCTGACAGCAGAGACAAACAGTCACTCAACCCAAACTGATGACACCTTCTGACAGCAGGACTTATCTGACCAACACCTTTTAACATCTTGTATTTCCAGAAATAGCCAGTGGCAGAATATCATTCCAACTTTTTGAACCAATCAGCACTTTTTATTTTTTAAGTATGTTACCTACCCTTCAGCATTTGGATGACAGCAGACCACATGATACCCTCGCAGGATGTCCATTAGATTTCCTAGGCTTAATCATGGCCAATGACTACGCAGTTCAGAAATGCGATCGACATCGTTTTCAATAAATTCCCTTACCTTGGGAGCCGAGGAGATTTTGTTCAAGGTAGCTATCTGAGGATGCTTTCACCACCACCAAGACCAGACATCACAAGTTCTGCATCAATCAGTTAGGAATAGCCCTTCACGTCCACTACCCCCGCACTCATTTCCACAAGACGTCGCACCCCCAGCACAACGCAACGCACCGCTATGTAATGGCCTTGGGACACGCTATGAATGGCACTCAAAAGTTATTGGGAGAACCGTGGCGATTGGACGCCCTCCGCTGCCGTATCGCCCGTAACGCCAACGTTGGCCGCATTATTCAGAATCGTCACTCCTTTGTTACTTGTGCTACCATCTGCTGAGAGCTTTGTACTTGAGGTAAGATTTATTACCACCAGATGTCAGGCTAATGAAGACCGCCACGGATAGGCCTACCCGTCTTCGAAGCGTCTTGGATATATTTCTACAGTTTGGTGATAGCGTGGCAGATGATGTTCATGTGATAGTGACTTTTTCGACAAAATGCAACGTTGTGATATTTGCTGCGGCCTTTTGAGGCACTAGTCACCGTACTAGACCTCCCATGACCGTTGCAGGGAAACTCTCTATTTATCATTTTGTTGTGCCTTTAGATCTTGTGACCATAGACACATAATGCCACCCCATGACCCATGTATCAGATAATGCGCTTCGTGCACCTCAGCGGCCTCACCCCGCCGTTCGTGACAATGATTCTCTCATCTGGCAAGTGACTGTGAGCTGTTTTAAAAATTTTCACATCAGCATTGCGCTTAATTTAATACCCAGGGACCACTGCCTCGCCTCGATCTTAGAGTTAAAACAGATTTTGCCTCCTGGAATTTTTTGGAGCGCCGCTGAAAACTAATCGTGTGTCTAATTCTACCTATGCGCAATATTTTTGTGCACAAGTTTTCAATTTGAGCTACCATATCGGTCCGGAAGCCTACAGTCTGCAGTGTAAAGTGACGCCTCCAGCGGCTGGGCATGCAATGGTCGCGGGCGAGGATTAAGTGAGGAGAGGCGCCATCAGTTTTTGGTGGTGAGCTTTTTAAGGTATGTATACAACTTTGTGTGTATTTGCTCCATAGTATACTCTATGTTTCCTAGAGATATTCTGGCCATTGCTAGTGCCTTGTTATCGCGTATCGCTGCCTGCCATCCAGCATCTACTGCCTGAAATCGCGACGTTAAAACAAGCCTCGTACATGTACTGGGTGCAAAAGGGTATGTGCTTCTGAGGATTTGACAACAATGTTGTGTGTCTAAGAATTATTCTAGAAAGATGCCCTGTACTATATCCCATAATCAAAGTGTTTGTCGGAATGGTCAGGCTAGATATTTTTAATAATGATGATGAAAATATGGCATCACAAATGAGTGTGTCCCAATAAATCCCTAGCTTGTGAACTATTAACAGATTGGCATATGCATTAAGCTGTAGTGTAACAGAGCCACCTGTCCAATTATCACATGATGCATGGTCTATACCAATTATTTATCAACAGCTAAATTCTTGTTCCACAACTGAGCCTGTGTGAAGACCAAAGGTGTATCATTATCATGGCTCAGAGAGGGAATACTACAGTTGATGCAAAATGATGAAGTATGTGTCAAATGTTTTGGCAAATATGTGCATAAGCCAAAAATGATATTGCATCAGGTTAGTTCCTTTATAACAACCCAATGGTAGCACATATGTGGTTTCATGTTTTGTAAATGATGTTAGTGGAAAGCATCCCAGGTACTGCATAGAATAAGTTTCTAACATGTGCTTCTCCTCTCAGCTGACCGCAAGCATTCCTGAGACTTCGTGGGCCGCAGCTTTCTCACATCATGGCTGGCAGTGTCAAGGCTTTGGTCCTGCTGGCATTCTCTGGGTCACTGGGCATCATGTTCATGGTGCTTGCATGTGCCCTGCCAGATTACAACAATTGGTGGCCATTCTTTGTCATCATCTTCTACATTCTGGCACCCCTGCCATACACAATTGCCAGACGTTATGCGGAGGACTCGGGTACTGGGAACGCCTGCACAGAGCTGGCGGTGTTCCTTACCACAGGCATTGTGGTGTCCGCGTTTGGCCTGCCTATTGTGCTTGCACACGCGCCTCTCAAGGTCCCAGTGATTGAGTGGGGCGCCTGCGCGCTGGTGCTGACGGGAAACGTCGTCATGTTCCTCACCATCCTCGGCTTCTTTGTGGCATTTGACGAGTCAGATTCGTGGTCCTACTTCTAGCAGTGGCGCTGATGCGTGGTCCGCGTGGGAAGTGGTATGCCGGCGGCGGTGCTGGTTGTCATGCCGGCGAACAACAGTACTGGACCGGGACTGTTGATGCGACCAAATTGTGCAGATTCAGAAGCAGATAATCTGCGTGGAAATGATTGAGGCGAATGATCTGTTACGGAAAGCTCCTCAAGGGATTGTCTATACTGCGACCGTGACAGTCTCTTGAAATGCCTCCGTAGACTGGTTTGACTCCGAAGAGCCAGCTGATGCTCCCGTGCTGTTTTGATGTTGCGTTTACCCTCGAGTTGAGGTCAGGGCGCTGATGCTGTTGTTTTGTTACGCCCGACTGGCTTGAATGAAGCTTGCCGGCGGCGCGCGCTAGCTCAGCGTGCCACAGTCTACCAAGTGCCACAATGAAAAGCATGTACACATCCAACTGTTCCTGGAGTTGGTCACGTAGATACCTGTAACTCTGCTACGAGCACATCACGTGGCGGAAGAAATAGCAATGATCATTAACTGATAAGCCACGAATGAGAACAGCCCGAGGGACCTGATCGGGTTGTGCGAAGTTTCTCCAGTGTGTTACGGCCGTAGAATTGTACAAATGGTCGTAATATCGCCGTACCGTAACGACAGGGCACACGTGCCGCGCCATAGGTCGTGCCGCGGCCGTCCGTTAACTCCTGTGTTCTTTCTGTCGCGGAAGCGGCATTGGGTCATGGCTGTATACTCAACCATAATATCGTCTCTTCCAGTGATCTCTGACGCCTTTAACCATCTGTGCCCCGATCGAACGGGCACTCGCGACTTACTGTTGACGAATATCACGCCTAACGGTGCGGTGGGGTCATCGGATCATCGATTTGTGTACAATGCTAGCAATAAAGCAATGATCGTTGTCACTGGTATGCGTCGTCGTTTTACGGCAGTGGTTTCGCAACGGTCCAGGATCGCCGACTAAGCCACCGTCAGACGACGGCCCTGGCGGCCGGTGCGCCGGCACCGAGCAGCTGGTGAAGGGTGGACCGATGACGCCCGCCTCCCGCTCTCGGCAGAAAGTGACGAGACGATTGCGCCAGAGATGGGGACCCAGCGACCTACACGCTGCGTCGTTTTATCCATCCGCTTGGTTTGAAATGGATAATCGTGCCCACACGATCAAATCGTGACTCCAAGTCCCAGAGAATACGGAGGCAGAGCGGAATTTGGGACTGGGGCAAGATGACTTCTTTCATTCTTTTCCGACAGGGAGGAGGAGGGGGAGCAAAGCTTTCCTTAAACTAATGTTGGGGGACCACAAAGGTTCTGATGTTAAACCTGGACTGTGCGTACCTCTAGGACAGGGTGGCAGACACGAAGTCAAGCCCAACAACCCAATCACACAAGTTGAGAATCAAATGTCCCAAAACCAGTCACTTCTAACGCATTTCAAATGCCCTGCACAAGTCAAAATCGTGCCCTCTGTATTCCACAGGCCGCACGTTACACGCACATAAGTATCACGTAGACACAATTCATCTAAAACACGCTCCTAAAAGTAGCACAATGTGGCGGCGCCCCACGCCCAACAGAGGCGGCTTGGGGCGCCCTCGCCCGGTCCCAGTCCGGACTGTTGACCCGCGTCACACTCGGGCGGGCGCGCCGGGTCCGCCGGCAGACTTCGGCTCAGCTAGGACGGCCTGGCGAGGCGCCCCTCGTATCGAGTGCCGTCCTTGTCGATGGCGTAGTTGTAGTCGACCTCGTCGGCCAGCGCCTTCTCTATCTCTTCCTCCAGCTTGTCGCGAGGAATGTACATGCGCGAAATTTCCTGTGGTGACGGGCAGAATGTTCCCGTTGATGTTATCGGACACGAAGCGGACACGCGACTCCCGGACATACCATGCTGTGACGTAGCGTGGGACGACGGGCTTTCCGGCGCGTGTCATTTCGATTCATGCCAATCCTTCTGGATAATCAGGATGATGATGAATTTGCAAGACGCTTATCGTTTTCATCATTTGTAAGACAAACTCGTATGCGGAAAAAGGAAAACAAGTTTTCGCCTGTATCACTATAGATAAGATCACTACGGCAGACACGTGTATCTATGAGGCAATGAAGCTACGCTGTATCATTATGCAGCGAGACAAATGAGTGCAAAACCGCACTTGTCAATAGTGGACTCACAACGGCGCTTCACTGTGATGCCGTTTTCCACACAGAATGGTCCACGTGGACGTGTGAAGTCCCCATCAGTCAAGCCGCTTCGCCCGGTTCCACCGCACCTCCAAAGCCCAGCGCCAGCCGAGGCGCGGGTGGACGCCCCCCGGACGCTCCCGCGCCATGCGCGCATCTCACCTCCTGGGTGCGGATGAGCTCCACGGCGCGCTGGCTATCCTTCTTCTGCTGCTCCAGGGCCGCCTGCTGCAGCGCCGCCACCTTGCGGCGCACGGCCTCGGTCTGCTCGGCCAGCCTGCGGGGCACGTCGCCGTCGGCCTCCGGTTCACCGGGACGGGCCCCACGTGGGCGAGGGGTCACGCACAAGCATGCACGACAGCCTACACACCGACGCTGGCCGCGAGCGAGGCCGTTCTGCGGCCGGTGTAGCCGCGGCGCTCCATGGCAGAGTGTGGCAAGAACTCGAACAATCCAGACAACTGCGGCAAACGTTTCCGCGACATGCAAGCGCGGCGAACACGATAGCCGGTGCGCTGCGCGGTGCACGCGTCCCGCGCCGCACCCACCTCTGTTCCGCCTCGGCGGCCATGCGCGCGTTCTCGGCGTCGTTGAACGCCATCAGCTGTCGGTGCTCGGCCTCCTCCTGCTCCGGGGAGAGCACGTGACCCGGCTGGGCACGGTTGCTCTGGCGCAGCTCCCAGTCCTGGCGCAGGTAGCTCCTGACAGGGCACGCGGCACGGTCAGAGGGGGCGGCAGGCACGGGCGCCGATCCATGCCCGGTTCCCGAACCCAGGACGCGGAAGTCGGGTCGGAACACGGGCGGTCGGGAAGGCCCTGGTGCCCATTAACTTCAGCGGGGATTCATATGCTGATACAACGCCATATTTCAGGACAAACCAACTCGTTTTCGCCAAATACTCCCACCCAGCAGGAAACGCACCTCACTACTCACTATACAAGTAATTGCCTAACATGATTCGCCACGGTTTTGTTTAACCAATCCACGACAAAGATAAGTGTTAAATAGATTTCGTCAGTAACTGTTGTAGTAAATCATAGGGTTGCTTGGTAAAACCTATTCCATAAAAAATTGCTGACGCCTGACATAATAACGAATTCACTGAACCAATATTCAGCAAGTATGCAGCGCGTTAGATAACTCTGTATGTCCTAACGGTGATGAGCTGCGTACATCTCATGCAATGAACTTCAGAGACAGCCTACGAAGCAGCACCGTCTCTTGACAGTTAGGTCCAAAATAGAGCACTTTTAAGTGAATAGGATGTTATATAAAGCTTCAAGGTTTCTGGATACAAGCCACATCATTGAATGATGCGTGCACAGCTCCGCAGTTTGATTCAATAATCGGGCCTATCGCCGGCCGGTACATCGGGATCAGCTCAGTCCGATTTCGCGGCGGTCGGGCGTCAGATTTCGAATGTAAGCTGCGGCAGTCATCTGAGCTCCACCGCTGTGGCGAACAACACTATCTGAGGCCTGCCAAACACGCTCAGTTCCACATGCTGCCGGCTAGAAAAGACCGTATGCTGGCGTATTATTACTGTGATGCATGGACTCACCAAAATCGTTTATACACCGACCAGCTTGGCTGATGGCCGGAGGGGGAATTCTACAAGAATCCAGACATGCGCCCACGTTTGCAGCACACTGCACACCATCGGCCCCGTGTAGCATGCAACGTGACCACCAAACATCGTTCGTGAAAAGTACACTGAATTGTCTACCACAGTCTTACTTCAAAGACTTCATCGCAGTGCGGTAGTTGTTGTACAGGCGTTTCATGTCCTCCCTTTCGTCTGCAGGGATCTCAGGCCGCGTCGGCACTCTGTACAGCTTTGAGGGTGCCGTCGGCATCCATCGCGTCTTCCGCAGAACGGCCGCAGACGTAGCGAGACCTCTGCTTGCCATGCCCGACGTCCAGATATCCCGCAGAACGAGGCGCGACAAACAACCGTGGGAGAGCGCCATTCTGTTCATGCATGTACTGTCTGAAATGCAAGAAGCATCATGTTGGAAGGTAAATGCAAGGAGGCGAGATAAACGCTATGCAGTCAAACTGTTGGATGCCCCACAAAATCGCTATGATGTTATTGTTCAAATAATATCTCAACTGTAACACAATTAGACAATGGTGAATGGTGGATACATGCCATACACCAGGGCAGGGCTGTTGGCTGTAAATGGGCTGTGCCTGATTGAAAAGTGGGCCTTTTTCTGGCTTTTCAGACTACCTATGGACTTATATTTCAGACTATCAGACTACCTCGCATATTAAACAAGACCATCCGCTGTCCTCTCCCTAAAAAAGACACTCCCTGTAACAAAACCAGGAGGATGCCAACCTAAGAGGCCCCTGCCAGCCTGCATGGAGGGTGCCATCATAAGACTGTAAGGAAGTCCCCTCCCAGTCTCCAAAAGTGCTGATACTGGCTCTAACACGAAATTACAGTGGCCTGATCCCAAGGCACAGCTTCAGCAACAAAAGATTAAAATATCCAAGTTCAATCCATTATCATGTAAATCTGAAAATTAGCTGACTGTGAGCCCAATCCTGCTACCAGCCTGGCTGCCTCCACTGCAAGTGACCCAAATATGCATGGGCCCAAAGTAGCACTTTCCCACAGCCTGACTGATGTCACTACCATTAACTTCACCCTCTACAGACCAGAGTGCAGTGGCAAAGCCTGACCTACATCCTCTGGACCACAAGCATCTGCCACCTTGATTTGCATACATGATTACCATTTATGGTCTCATGGTGATATGGCCTGGTTGCACAGCTTGTTTCAGCAGATGGTCTCATGCTGTCACTGGCTTAAACTGGTATCTATAACTTGCCCAGCTCCAAGACCATCCTATGATTGTAAAACCAAGACAGAATCAGCCTATTGTGATCAGCTGCCACCTTAGTCCTAGACCTTAAACATCAAAGTTGTGAGGTCTTTAAGACATTGCTTCTGGTGCCATAAGGTCTATGCAGTCACATAATTTGTTATGGTCTGGTACAGTCCTAAGGCCCAGACCTCACTATGACACCAAAGCTATGCTACCATTCATCTTGTGTTTGGTGAATAGTTTAACAATACACATTTATAGATGTTACCTAGTATCATTACTAGTACCTATAGCATGTCTTTTAAGTCCACAGACTCCTGAGGCCTATTATTCATTAGCCAATGGAGATCCATTCCTTACTTTGGAGTGATTAAGCCACTTCTTTATGTATGATGCTGCAGCCCAGGCCCTGACTCAGTAAGAGGTAAGGGGCCAAGTATGTGGCTGCTTACAAGCAAGTCATCAGCGCTGACATAGCAATGCATAGCTAGAGTTGATGCACTGTGCTATTAACCACGTTGCTGTTGATGCTCTAGTGTGTATAGCAAATAGGCTGGTCTTATTTTAAGATGGAAAGTGTGATCAATAGCTATGTACTTAGCCACATATCACCTAACTGTAGATGTTATTCAAATAATATTCAAGTGTGCTATTCATGCCACTCTGAACTCTATGTCTGTAGGGTTGGATCAGCTGACTCCATGTGTGTCCACCTTTGGAACTAAGGGTGTCTTCCATTGGTGTGTATCTCTGATACTCCCTCAGCAGGCAGAGGTTGAATTTTAAGTTAATGAGGAACTGGGCTCTGAGACATTTAATGTGAGCTGAGTTGCAAACACATATAGCAAAAAACCTTCCAATGACTGAGAAATCCTAGAGCTATCATGTCAAGGGGGACATGGCTATAGGTTCCTGATCCTTCTGAAAGTCTTATGTATTCCATTACTTAAGGGTACCTTAACTTTGACTGATTTGGCAGATTCTACTAAAAGAATTATGATGAAAATGGTAGCTCAAGAACCATGACACAAGCAGTCTTGCTGACACAAGTTTCAGCCACCTTTGATCTTCTAGGTCAGGAAGTAAATTTAGCCCAAAACACAATCCACATGCCTAGGCAAACTCTTTCATTACAGGATCTCTGCATAGTAAGTGATATCTACTTGCAGCCCCCTTCTCAAGCAATTTGGCTAGCAAGTTTTTGACCTAGAACATTATGAGTCTGAAATGTGCGCACAATTTGGGAGCCTGTTTACAGGTGATGCTGAGCAGGAGTGATTTTAGTAATGAGTTTGAACCATTTTTAACACGAGATTAAGCACTCTTTATAGGAAATATTATATATATATATATATATATATATATATATATAATATCAGCAATGGTGACGTAACAAAACTGAAGCGCTCACCTGTCCTATGACCGAGGTTGCAATGGGAAGACAGCTAACTAGTATCCTCAGGGTATCCAGATCTTGGCGCGACTCTCCGGAGCCAACGTTATCACTTCAATAAATTTCTTCCTATTCACTGGACAATTTGAGAGCCTCCAACTAACCACGATCCAGCCGTCTCGCATGAAGCGCGTCTATGAGCATAACACTCGCGCCACCTTACCTCCACGCTCCAAATTAGTCAAGGCCGCCAAAGTGTAATTCTGTCGCCGTTCTCATCTTTCTCTGCATCGACTAATGGTTTACTGTTTCGGACGCACCAGCTTTGCAGCAATGACGTGAAATGAGATGACGTGAGATTGAAGATAGCTCTCATTTCTTCTCTATCATGGCTGAAAGGCAATCGGCCTGAAAATATCGGCTTCTCTGAGCAGGGGAAGTAGTTGTTACAAGTCAGTTGGGGAAGCCGTGAAAAATTATGAAACCTACACCTAAAATTCGTCAACAAACGGATTTACTCCGGCTTTGACCCATTCTCCCAGGGTTTGGGGAGTTGGAGCCAAAGCTTCAAAGAAATAGGAAACGGTACTCCTGACTGTAATGGTATGCAAGAAAGGCCTCCGTACAGACTACACGCGCACGCGCTTGTAATAAGTGTACTGCTGGTCCTTAGTGGTTGAGTGTTTGACATGTCCATTGTGACCTTCAGGTCTTGAGGGCACATGCTTATTCCAACTCAGTGCAGCGCGCAGTACGTTCATAACGCTAGTTCGGTATCAGTGAATGGTGATACCGAACTAGGGATAACTGAACATACCTCGGCGAAGGCCGCCAGCCCTCTCCACACAGACAAAATAACAGCCGTGAACAGCTCCCTCAGTCAATTTGCATATACAGGCAGCAGCACAGCCGTTGCTGATCATTCGACGGCGGAGAACGCCGTCGTGGCCTGTCGAGGTCACGCGTTCGAGACAGCGCGGACCTGTTACAGATCACTCCAGCAGCTGGAGGCTCAGAACCCTCCAGCGTGTCCACAACGGTCGTCCTTGCGGCTTATACCATCCTATGCTGAGCATAACCCTATGGCGCCAGACTGGACTGACATAGACGCCGTCTCGTGCCATTTTTCGCCATGGTTTTACCCGCTGCCCTCTGCAGCGACTCATATGAGTGATTAAACTGTGATTCATGTGCCTGTATGCACACTTTTAGCATTTTATCTTTGCACTGTGAGCTGGTCAGTCTACCACTCACTGACATGAGCTTTTTCGCATGAAATATATGAGACATCGCCTCCATTGGCCTCGGGCCGATCTTCGTAGTCCAGATGGCTCCAACCAAAGCATCACATTTGTTCCGGGTTGTCGGCGCATTCACCGTTAAGTAGCAGCGTCCAGTTACACCCGTCCCCACGAAGGTCAGCGCATGCACTGCAAACCAGTCAGAACGAAAAAATGTGCTACAAACGATCGCTCTGTATTGGCTGCACATCAACTGTCAGCTACGATGCAAATGGGAGCAAAGACTTGTGAGACAGCTCCCCGTCACGGCAGACCACCGCCTACTTCTTGGACAAGAGCAGACCGCGGAAGTCGGCATTGCTCTTGGGCGTCGGCGCCTGGGGCGCGGCCGACTCGGCCGGCGCCTCCTTTTTCTGCAGTGCTCGGGGCACGAAGGCGACCTGAAGCCGTCCGCGACTGAAACATGGTCACACGGGCGTCGCCATTAAAGTGCGCCAAGATCGAACTACTGCGCAGCCGCTTTTACAAATAAAGCCTGAGCCTCCTGGATTGAGCTGCCTTTTGGGACGAGTTGTCACTCCCGCGCAGAAATAGATCGCCTCGTGACTGTCTGTTGCCCACCGCGGACCGCTCGACAATATCTGGGCTCCGAGCTGACTTCACCGGCTGAACAAGGCTCGGGGGGGGGGGGGGGGGAGGAAGAGGGAGCCGGCAATACTCGTGGCCGATATCTTGGACCACGGAGGCACCCTGCATACTGTGGAAACCGTTGGCACAACTTCACGACGGCAATGATCCCCTGAGCCTCGGCATATACCGGGTTGGCTGCGTGATTTACTGGCAAAAATAAACGGTCTAAGACCAAACAGGTGAACCTGAGTAGTTTATGAGCACCGAAATCTTGAAGCACCCCATCGGTCTTCGAAAACAAACGGTCCGCAAAATAAACAAGCGCCGCATGTGAAAAGGTAAGCTGAAAAACGTCACAGCACAGGTACATGCGCCGGCCGGCCGATGGGAGAATGGCTTCACCTGGCGCCGCCGCGGCCGCCCGGCCCCAGCGAGCGCTGCTCTGTCGGCCGGCCCTTGGCCTTGGGAGGATCGCTGATGGCCACGCTGATGGTCTTGCCGTCCATGACGGTGCTGTCGGTCTTGAGCAGCGCCTCGGCCGCGGCCCGCCTGTCCGGCACAACGGGGACATGAGAGGGGAGTCGCTTGGGCCGGACAGACCCGACGCCAGCTGGCAAACGATAGCCGAAGCGCGAGGCGAACCGCGGTGCGGCAATGAGATACACTCGCAGCGTCTGATCACACTGGGGACAAGATTACACCATTCCGCGTTTGTTTGCTTCGTCCCTCAGGAAGCCAAGAACATTATCGTATCATCGTATGATCATCTTCATGACAGCCAATAACTGCGGGGTGTAATGAGGAGGCGATCATTGTCTTGCGTTAATGGATTCTCACGCCGTGTAGATTCTCCGGCATGAAGGCCTACTGCCGACCGTGAGCGGTCCGAGGCATGCTCACCTCCTCGTTGAACTCGATGTAGGCAAGCCCCTTAGAGTGGCCGTTTCTGAGGTGACCAGCCGCACGTCCTTCAGCTCGCCGAACGTGGAGAACTTTTGCCGTAGGTCGTCTGCGGTGGCGCTGAACGGCAGGCCTGGAGGCGTCCGAGCGTCAACCGGCGCACACATTCAGACACGGCGGCGGCGCAATCCCGACGGCTGCGGCGTCACCGACCAGCCGGCGCACACACCCAGACACGGCGGTGGCGCACTCCAGGATAGCTGCCACCAACCAGCCGGCGCACACACCCAGACACGGCGGCGCCGCAACCCCGGACGGCTGTCGGCGGTCACCGATCAGCCGGCGCACACACCACAGACACGGCGGCGCGCACCCCAGGACGGCTGCCGGCGGTCACCGACCAGCCGGTGCACACACGCAGACACGGGGCGGCGCACGCCAGGACGGCTCTCGTCATCACCGATCAGCCGGCGCACACACCAGACGGCGGCGGCGCACCCCAGGATGCTCTGGCGGTCACCGACCAGCTGGCGCACACCGAAAAGCGCTGGTGGCCGACCACACCAGCACAGGCCTACGCCTGCTGTAGGTCGTGTGTCGGCTGAGACGCAGCCGATCGCTGGTGGCCGCTGATCAGTGTAGGCGGCGGGGTGGGACAGATTGTTGTTAAATGCAACGTCTAGGCATGACGTTCAATGCCGTCTAATGGGCGAGGAACGCCCAGCCGCTCCCTCCCTCCCCCCCCCCCCCCCCCTCCCGCTCGTCGTAGGGTCCATGCGTTAGCTGGAGAATCCCGGACCTATTTCCGAAGACCTTTGCCAGGAGACAAAGAGCATTGGCGGTAAAACAGGCGATGACATTCAAACAGCTAGGGTACCATAACGTAACAAGACACGGCCGTGAGCCTACCCTCCTGACGGCACGACGCCGATGCCTCCATGACCCTGCTGACTGGCTGCGTTCGGCGCCGCTCACCTCGAACGAACAGCTTGTTACGCTCCAGGCCGGTGGTTGTATTTGAAGCACTGCTGGGGCTGCTGCTGGCGCGGCCGCGCCGCAGCCGCGACACGAAGCAGGGCCGGCCGTCGATGGGAGCTCGGTCGCGCTGTAAACGCCGCCTCGGCCGCCGCCTGCGCGGACACAGCACACTTGGCTCAGGGGAGGGAGGCCAACGGCAAGCCCACAGGCACACGGGAGCCAGATGATACTGTGGTGTTTATCACTGCAGCACCGCCTCGGCCGCCGCCTGCGCGACACACACACTTGCACAGGGGAGGGAGCCAACGGCAGCCCACAGGCACGACGGAGCCAGATGATACTGTGGTGTTTATCACTGCAGCAACCGCCTCGGCCGCCGCCTGCGCGGACACAACACACTTGCACAGGGGAGGGAGCCAACGGCAGCCCACAGGCACGACGGGAGCCTGATGATACTGTGGTGTTTATCACTGCAGCACCGCTTCGGCCGCCGCCTGCGTGGACACAACACACTTGCTCAGGGGAAGGAGCCAACGGCAGCCCACAGGCACGACGGGAGCCAGATGATACTGTGGTGTTTATCACTGCAGCACTGCTTCGGCCGCCGCCTGCGCGGACACAACACACTTGCACAGGGGAGGGAGCCAACGGCAGCCCACAGCCCGACGGGAGCCAGATGATACTGTGGTGTTTATCACTGCAGCACTGCTTCGGCCGCCGCCTGCGTGGACACAACACACTTGCTCAGGGGAGGGAGCCAACGGCAAGCCCACAGGCACGACGGGAGCCAGATGATACTGTGGTGTTATCACTGCAGCACTGCTTCGGCCGCCGCCTGCGTGGACACAACACACTTGCTCAGGGGAGGGAGCCCAACGGCAGGCCACAGGCACGACGGGAGCCAGATGACACTGTGGTGTTTATCACTGCAGCACTGCTTCGGCCGCCGCCTGCGTGGATACACACACACTGAAACGCGAAGGCAAGAGTAGGAATACTCCTGTGCACTCATCATAGCATTATTTGTCCTGTTCTCACCACCCCCAAAGCTAAAATTTCATAATTATAGCGATTATGAATCCCTGCACGGTGTGTGACATGTGAAACAAAAGAACAGACTGCGCTGGCCTGAACAGCACGCGCTAGCACGTAAAACAGACGAACAACACGCGCTGGCCTGAGCGCGTGGCGTTCAGCGTCACCCTCAGACCAGCTCACCGGCACATCCCGTACTCACAATGGTCGAGAACTCGAGGTAAGCGAACCCCTTGGAGCGGCCCTTGTAGTCTTTGACCAGGCGCACATCGGTGATGTCTCCCACGTCGGCCAGGTGACTGCGCAGGCGCGCCTCGTCCGTGGCGAAGTCCAGGTTGCTGAGGAACACGGTGCGCGAGTCTCGCTCCACGTCGCCCGTGCCGCCGCCCTCGTCACCTGATGGGGTAGGGTGGGGGGGGGGGGGGGGGGGCGGGTCAGGCGTTGGAGGGGAGCGCGTTCCACGTCACCCGTGCCGCCGCCTTCGTCACCTGATGGGGTAGGGTGGGGGGGGGGGGCGGGTCAGGCGGTGGCGGGGAGTCGTGCTCTTCCCGGCCACCACGGGGCGGCCAAGGCGAACGCGTTGGCGCGGGGACTGACACCCAATCGTTGAGTGATGGCACGTAACTTGGAGTCACCGCATCCATACGTGGCTTTAGATGCGTGCGTGAATGTGGGGGGGGGGGGGGAGTGGGCGCACATTGTACCCCAAACACAAGTACAATTGGCAAGGACTTCGGTAACATCATCCGGCAGTAAGTACCGTCGTGGACCCAGAAATGGCTGGACGAGCACATTCGATCACCATCTACGTGGACATTTCACGACGTTAGTAACATGATCAATACGTGCTGAAGTCATTCAGCATTCCCCGACTCGTTTCATTGCGCAAATCAGCCGACATGGGCAAGGGGAGATGCGGCCATCCAACAAATTACGGGTTCTGTTATGAGCGGAATAACGTTCCCTCGGGAACACAGAATGTGTGCAACAATGTAAGCCTGCGTTTCAGGGTCACTATTTCATTTTGAGCTCCGAACTTCCGCCTTGTGTGAACTAATGCCCATTGGCCAATAGCTCGCGGCATGTTTGCTTTTCTTATGAGCTAAAAACACTGGCGATTCATCGAATAACAGGAACTACGCCGGTCAGCAACGGTGTTTCTCAGCTTGTGAACACACATAACGCCAGCCGGACGCCAGCATCGGTCGCGGATCAGTACCTATCCGCCCCCCTCCCTCCCTCCCCCCTCCCCAACCCCACCTCAGCCCACCTTTTGGCGGTCGGTCCCGCCGCTCGTCCTCCCGCGTCTCGCTCGGCGGCGGCGGCGGTTTAAAGCCAGGCGGTGGGGGTGGTTTAAACCCGGGCGGCGGGGGCGGTTTGAAGCCGGGCGACGGAGGCGGCTTGAAGCCGGGCGGCGGAGGCGGCTTGAAGCCGGGCGGCTGGGGCCGGCCGGTCCGCCATTGGCGTCGGTCCTCTTGGCAGGCCGCCGGCCGCATCTCATCATCATCCGCCTCCAGCTGCGGCACACGTTCGCGGTCAGGTCAGGTGCTTCAGCATGGAAGTGCGGATGCCGTAACATAGCAACAAGCATGGGCGGGTGACCTCACGCAGCCCGTGACATGTAATGGCAGGCTGGAGAGTTTCTACCCATCTCATAGCCGTAGAACCCGTGGACACTCCTTATGGGTTCCTGTGGCACGGAAGAGACAAAGGGTTAATATCTCGACAAATTTCCACCTAGATCAATATCCATCTAGATAAATATCCCGGCAACTTCACCATCTCACGTGAGTTGAACCCAGCTTGTAGCATAAGGACTCCAGAATTCACAGCTCAAGGAGCACTAGCCAACATGCAGCAAGAGCCCATCTCACTGAACATTAGCACACGTGTTCGCATGTCCGTATTTTACAGCCCAAACATCGCACTCAATTGGCGGTGACAACCTAATTTGAGCTTTACTGCGAATCAGCTCCTCGTCACAGCTTGCAATCGCCGCTTCTCGCCGTGGCCACGTCATTCCAAACCCAATAAGACTGTCCATTAGCACTACAATCAAGTATCTCTTTAAGTTCGTTGCATCCGCTCAGAGAGTTACCCCGACATCCCACTGTTACCCGCTCCCGCGAAACGGATATTAAAGGAGGACGGGAAACACCTCAGATTGATAGCCCGCCCATAACTACTAGCGAATCACACTGAGGGTCTTCTGAAACCGCTGTCAAACGTAACGCAGTTCCTCCAAGGGTCGCTATATAATTACCCGGGGCGGCGCTTCCCCGACGAAACTAAGAAATATTGCATGGAGGCATAACTCCCGCTAGTTTGAGCAAACTTCGTCTAGCTTTTCCAGGGGCATCAAGCTATGTCATGACAAGTCCTTACCTTCCTCTTTTGTGGACTGGTGTTCTCTGTTTTCGCGGGAAGCTCCTTCGCAGCACTTTTAGCGGTTTTCAATTCTTGCCGTTTATTTTTCCTCCACTCTTTATCCTTTTGTTTCTTCTTTTCAACCTTTGCTTCCGCTTTGTCCAGCTCCATCTTCTCTTTTTCTGCCTCCTTTGCTCGGAGGGCTTTGATACGATTCCATACGGACACGGGTAACTGTGAAGAGGATAACGTTTATTTTTAAGCATACACCGGACCTGTGAGAACTGAGCATGGAAGGAACAAATATAGATTGCTACCCCTGCCGAGTTTCGCTCATAGCACCGCTCCCACAACATTGCACAAGGCGGGAATGCCCAGTGTGAATGCCTAGTATGGCACGAACACTTACTTATTCCTCATATGCATTGCCAAGAACTTCACGTCCATCCACTCAAACTGTTTGATAAGCACGACAGTCGCACTTTACTCGTTCACGTGTGGTACAATTACATCCTGCAGTACTGGCTTGAATTTTGTCACCATTCATTCAAAGCAATCACCATTTGCAGTGCTTCACCACCTCCGGCGTTCCTGGAAGTGCCGCTGTTTACGCGGGTCAAGCACCATGCGTTATTCCGCGCGGCTCAGCCCCGTCCGTGTAAAAACGGTTGCCCCTACAGCTGGCAGTATTATGATGGGGAAGAGAAGTCGCCCCAGGACGCCAAATCTGGCGAGTAGGGCAGGTGAGCAGCCCCGACAGTGTGGTGCAGCGCAAAAACTTGCGCGCTTTGCACACACCGAGTGGCTTTGTTGTCGAGCGTGAGCCCCCCCCATTGTCATTGCGCCCCATTCCAGGTCGTTTGCGCCGATTGTTCGCCCGCAGACGCCTCAGCAAGGCAAGTAGGACTCAGCGTTAGCAGTCTGACCCGGAGACGAATTCAGGGGCATAGCTCCGCGAGTGGAACACGAGAAGAAGAAGAAGCAGACTGCTCTCCGTCACACGCTGTGCCAAGCGCTCAGAGGTCACTTAAACTGACCTGAGCACCTGGCACAGGCCACCGACCTATGCCCGGCGCCCCAACATTGCTCAGTGCGTTGAAAACGTGAGTTTTTTTAGCCCGACCGAAAGCATCATCCTCCCTTCACTTTGTACTGCCCCTCGAATTTGGCTCCCTGTGGTTTCCCCTCTTCCCCAAGATAAAGTTAGAACTAAAAGGTGACTGTCTTAAAATCGGCGAGGAGATTCAGCGAGAATCGCACATGGTGCTTCAAGCGCTTAAAAAACGGAATCTTCAGGGAGCGTTTCAAGCGCGGCTAAAGCGCCGCGAGGAGTGTATCGCTGCGCGAGGCCATCATTTCAAAAGGAATGGCGAGCAAATTTAAATCAGGAACGTGTTCTGCTTTTTAAAGGCGTAGTCTCGCATCTTTTTAAACGGACCTCGTAACTTTACATCTGATTATTATGCCGCATGTCACATCCAACAAACACGCACCACATATCCAGTGCAGTCCTACATGTCGTCCAGTCAGTCACGCATAATCCATTCAGCCAGCCGGCAGATCCCCTGCCCAAAGCCCCGCCAGCCGGCGCCGTGCCCGGCCTGTCTCACCGGTAGGTCATCTCGTCCCAGGTCTGCAGGGTACCCCGCTCGCGCTCGAACGCCGCCCACATCTCGTACACGCTCTCTGGCCAGTCCACGGTGCGGTCCAGCGCGCGCACCAGCAGTTTGCGCAGCTGCTCCGGCGTCCCGAACCGCCTGAGCGCAGCCGCAGACGGAGGATGGGTCACATGCCAGGCACGGCCGAGCGGCCCCTTGGAAACGCCGCACGCGCCGCTCGTGGTCAGCTCACGGGCGATGCGGAGTTAACGGCACGCCGGTCCCGTCACACCAGGCGACGTGCTCACGTTTGAGCCAAGAAAACAGGTTCGGACTTGTGAAGATGAGCACCGTTGGGCCGTGACTGAATGGCACAAACCTGCATGCAGTTGCGTCATGAGAGCATCGAAATGAAACGGGACTGTGTCCACTAGCCAAATATTGTGTGTTTATCCTCAGACTCAATTGATAGCCCATGGTGACAGAAGCGACAAAGCCGTGATAGAAACGATAGCCGAGCTAACTTTTCTTGAACTGAAACTGGAAGGTGTGGCGTCCCCCACTTCCCGCTCTTCTGGTTATCGCACCATGCACCTCACACCCCACATCTTTTTGCTGGGAGGGGGGGGGGGGGAGGAGGCACCACAGAGCGGGACTGACTGGACGAGCCGCAGGTACTGGAGCCACATCCTGGCCGACTTGTCGTGTCCCTGGCTCATGATGTCGTTCCAGAGGGCGACGGCCTCGCTCAGCAGGCCGTTGGCCGCCTCCAGGCTGGCCCAGTACTGCAGCAGCGTACATTCGGGGTCGCCCTCCAGACCGAACGCTGAAACAGCGGCGCCGGTGTCAGCCGCGCCACAACGGTCCGGGGCTGTTGGAATCGGCAGGGATGAAGCCAAACCACGAGTCCGGATAGCCTATAGGAACGTGAAAAGCGCAACACGCGTAGCTCACAGACAGCAGCTACTGTAGCCTCATGATCGCCCGGTATTTCCGAACATAGCGTACGATAACAGCTGATATTCACTGTGTGACAACAGGAACGCAGCAATAGTCGTCAAAGCTTTCAACCTGTTGTCGTTGTGGTTACTGCTCTTGTTGTTAACTTGTTGTTGATAAACTGTTGTTATTATACGCCTGCTTAGTTGTTGCAATCGCCCAGCCATATGCACATGCCATTTAATACCAGGCATGGGGATGAAGTCAGGCTTCTGGCTTCGAAGCCTAATTTTGGGCAAAGACAATGATATAAAAACAAAGTCAAAGCTGAAGACAATGGCTTCGTTTCCGCAAGCCGAATCTGAAGCCAGTGGTTTCGGACTTTGTACGCGCGAAGCTGAAGCCAGGACCCTCACACTGAGGAGCACGACGCCAGAGCCAACCACCATCTTAAAAATATGCAGGCCGAACCCAAAGCAGAAGCCGGGTTTAGTGAACAATGCTCCTTTGCGCAGCCAAAACATTTTTTGCGTCTGATAAAACCGCATGGAATCCGGAAACATTGCAAGACTTTGCGGAGTGAACGAGACAATGTGTTCGCATTGAGGATGAAAAATAATTCAGAGTATCGTCAGTCTTCTGTTAGTGGAGACAACGTTTCGGAAAGTTCGTTCCCCAGCATTCATCAGATGTTAGTGTCCCTAAGAATCACCGGCTGGTTTTGGCCTTCAACCGTGCATGCGTCGTGATGATGATGATTGGAGTTTAAAAGTGCGCCGACGTCGGAGGTCATTTTGCGCCCACTTGACAAATTGTGTGGGACATCGGGGTAGCGGGCCAAGCAAGACTGCTCTTTGGGAAGAAAAAAACCAACTGCAGTGAAGAAAATCAGCATGACAAAGTCCAAGTAGTTTTAGTCGACTGGACCCGAAGTCGGAGGCCATAACGCAAAACTTGTTCGAGGCCAAAATCTAGCCTGAAGCCGTAGATAGCACTTAAAATGGCACGAAACCGGAGACGCGACCGAAGCCAGCCGTGGAATACACCTGAAAGCCGCGGCCAAATCTGGGGCCACTGGAGAAAAACTTTGGCTTCGCAAAGCCCAGTCAATACCGAAGCGAACTGTATCCCCATGTCTGGTTTACACCTAAAACTACTCGAGCCCTGAGCAAGCAAACCTGTTTTTATCCCCGCCAAAACAATGCACCGAAACAGATCTTTTAATAACGGAGGTAAGTGTGAATGCATGATTCTACTAAATGCACAAATGCCTCCCAAATGCGAACGTATGAGTCACATCTTTGACAGTTCGAGTTTCTAAGGTATGCTGATCGATTCTGCGAAAAGGATGACGCATACCATTCCGGCCACGGTGGCTTGCGTTTGCGAACAGGCCTCTTGTACATGGCAGACGCGACCAGTGCTTTCCTCCTCCCCGTCCTTGTGACGGAACACACAATGCACACCAGCCACTATACCGTGCGTCACCAGCGCGCCATGCCCATTGCACCACCGGCTGTGACCAGAAGGGACTCACTCTGCGCAAGGTGCTCGCACGCCTTGTTGAACTGGACCCGCATCTTCTCCATGAGATCGGCGCCCTTGGTGCCGTCCTGGCTGAGCCGGCGGCGGTACAGGTCCAGCCAGGTCAGCCACACCAGCTGGTAGTCGGCCGGCGTCTGCAGCCCGCTGGACAGCGCCCTCGTCACCAGCTCTGAGACAGGGACACGCGGCCAGCGGTCAGACCGCACCTCGGTCACGGCGCCGGCGCACGCGGCCAGCGGTCAGACCGCATCTCGGTCACGGCACCGGCACGCGCGGCCAGCGGTCAGACCGCACCTCGGTCACGGCGCCGGCTCACGCGGCCAGCGGTCAGACCGCACCTCGGTCACGGCGCCGGCACACGCGGCCAGCGGTCAGACCGCACCTCGGTCACGGCGCCGGCGCCGACGCGCGCTGTCATACGGTCAGGCTCGCAAGGTACGGCACTAGCTACCATTGGCACGTCGCTCGGCACTGGGGGCATGGCAAAGTCATTATAATGAACAGAAAGTCAGGTATTTTCCACGCATTTACTGACCCGTTGATGTAGGTATTTGACAGGAATGCCACGACACTAAACATCCCTTGCCAACGTTTCTCCGAGCACAATATCATTCTATCCCAGACTTAATCCGTCAATTTGTAGCTGACCAACAGACAGTAACTTGCTGACCTCCTGCACTTGACGTGACGCCTCTCCCAGAGATCGGACCCCACATGCCGCTGCGGCTGATCTCGGATTATCTGGGCGGCCTCTCGCCCCCGGCAGCCGTGCTCACCCTCTGCTCGCTGGAGGGGCGCGCCGGCCCGCTCGACAGCACGGATGTAGTGCTCCCAGAGCTCGGCCGACCAGGCCAGGTGGCGCACGGCCCGCTCGTGGACGGCCAGCGTCACCCTCGCTGGCCGGCCGCAGCTCGAAGTCCAGGTAGCGCGTGTACGCCTGCCACAGCTCCAGCGCCAGGCAGTTGTCGAGCACGGCGCGCTCCAGCACGTGCTGCACGCGCGCCGGTGTGCCGTGCGCCAGCTCGTGGCTCAGGTACTGCTGGTAGGCGGCCACCGAGCCGCCAGTCTCGTCGCTCGTCTGCCGGGGAACGCATGGGTGATGGCCGGCACGAGCGCGTGCTGGGGGGTCTTCTTTTTTACCAGGGTCGGGGCAGCGAGTGTTGCCACTATTCGCGTGGGAACCCCCGATCCTCCCGCGGTCCTGTTCACTTTAGACCGGCGTACCCACCTATCAACAACGATCATGTACTGTTGAAACACACAGCCGTAGCGTAATGCGTCGGAGCGATGTAAACGTAGAATACCATCCGCGAAAACAACTCAAATACCCCACGTTCACAGTATGCTGTAACTTTCCCCGACAGCCCAACCCACCACGCGGCCGTCCATACCGGAGAGCACATGACCTCAGCAGCCTGACCATGACAGTTCATCCAAACACACGAATCACCAGGCCGCCATGCGCCAAGGCAGCGACGAACGCCGCTCGCACGTGCGCCGCTCACCAGCGCCTCCTCGAACGGCAGCAGCGTCTCCAGCCGCTTGCAGGCCTTGTCGTACTCGCGCCGGTCGTTGGCGTCCGGCTGGGCGGCGGTGGGAGCGGCGGCTAGCCATGCCTCGTACTCGGCCCACGTGAGCTCGAGCCCCTGCAGCGGCACGCGCAGCTGGCGCCGGAACAGCGCCGTCACCCGGTCGCGCGCCGCCGCCGCCGCGCTCTCCTCGCCAGGCTACCGGGGACAGGGCCGAGACCCAATCACAACCAACCCTGACGCTCTCCGGGCCTCAACATTGCCAAAACACTGAGCTGCGTTTCAAAATTACAATGGTGGCTTGAGTTCTGTAAGCCCCTTCATAATAACATTAGCAGAACAAAACCTCGGCATTCGAGGCATCCGAGCACTAACGAAAACACCGCACTGCGCTTCACGCCTCGCTGCGTTGCCCTAAGGCCGCCACTCCCTACTCCGGCGCCACCGGCGCTCCGCTCACCGGCACGCCGCTGCGCTGCCCTAAGGCCGCCACTCCCTACCCCGGCGCCACCGGCGCTCCGCTCACCGGCACGCCACTGCGCTGCCTTAAGGCCGCCACTCCCGAGCCCGCCGCCGACGCCCAGCTCACCGGCACGCCGCTGCACATGGCATTCTCGAACTCTCTGTACGCCTCCCAGATGAGGGTGCCCTTGGTGACGTGCAGGCCGACCGCGATGAGCGCGCGCTCGAATAAGGCGCGCACGCGGGCCGGCCCGTCCTCGGCGGCCAGACCGCCGATCGCCAGCTGACAGTACTCCAGCCACAGGTCCACACCTGCCGGCCCCGCTCATCACGGTCAGGTGCGGAGGCGGCTCGCCGGCACGCGCTGGCGCGCAGGGCCAGGGTGCAAGAGCTGCACTGTAGCGGGGAGACGGTGCCTGGGGGACTCATTCGCAATCCAGTAATTGTCTTCATCAGGGGTATACTATCCTCAACAAAACAGTAATACTCAGACCAGTGTGTGTGGGGAGGGGTTGTAGCAATAAGACAAGTGGAACCCAGTCACACAGATGTGCAACTACCGGCAACTGATACATAAAGGTAAACTAGCGGCATCGGGTAGTTTATGCTATGCAGCGTAGATGGTGGCGCTAAGCGCGCGCCCTTTCATGTGGCATAGCATGCAGCATCACTTCACGGTTTGCTAGCAAGAGAGATCACTAAGTTTTACGCCGCTTTTGCGAAGGAAAGCATCAATGTGCACAGACCTTGTGAATAAATCGAATTAATGAATTATAAAAGGTGATGCATCAATACATGAGTACGTGAATGGATGAGTGAGTGAGTGAGTGAGTGAGTGAGTGAGTGAGTGAGTGAGTGAGTGAGTGAGTGAGTGAGTGCGTGCGTGAGTGCGTGCGTGCGTGAGTGCGTGCGTGCGTGAGTGCGTGCGTGCGTGCGTGCGTGCGTGCGTGCGTGCGTGCGTGCGTGCATGTGCTTGTGTGTGCGTGCGTGCGTGCGTGCGTGCGTGCGTGCGTGCGTGCGTGCGCGCGTGAGTGATTGGGCGAGTGGGTATTGTAGTAACGACAAGAAAGTGACAGTGAGTGAGAGAATTAGTGGCACAATGTATGGGTGAACAGGCGTCACAGCAACGCACTGGAGTACTCGCGAACTGCTCGGTCGCAGAGCGCCAGCAGCCGCTCGCGATCCTCGTCCGTCTCCATCGACTTCTCCTCGTCTTTGATCCAGCTCAGCCACAGATCTGTAGGCACGCCACTAACGGTTAGCGTCCTGTTCGTCACGCCCGTCACGAACCGGTGTACAGCCCAGCCAATGTGCGTTAGCGATGGGCCTACCTTCGCATTGAAAACAGACCACAACAGCGGTTCGCACCAAAAAAAAAAACGGTACGAGCACGCGATCAGGCGTCTTTAAAATCACTTCTCCCGCTACAGCGTATGCCCTGCAGAGGACAAAGTCCCACACAGCATCCATCTCACGTGGGTCCAAGATAGCCTTGATCGCGGGCCGAACCGAACGGGTGTCCGCTCGGCGAGTTCGAGGTCACTTACCGGGGGAGAGTGGGAAGTATTTGTTCATGGTTTCCCGGGCCTCTCGCAGCATCTCACGACTGTTGGCCGTACCCAGCAGGTGGAGCAGACGCACGTGCGAGTCATAATTGTACGGCGACGCCTCCAGCTGCGCGGAACAGAAAGGAGACGATAAGTTTGTCGTAAAAAGGTGACCACGTTCGCCGCGTTCAAACAGTCACACTGGCTGAGTTCGCCTGATTCAGGTAATGTTTCGAGACGCTGATCTCTGACGACTGACAAAGCGGTATGACTAATGCTTTTGATAAGCCGCTATGCTTGCCTGTTAGCGCTTGTGCATCAGAGCGGGCAGAGACCAGTGAGATTAGCCCAGAATGCGGGCACATGCGTCAGAGCTGAAGCATCGCCGTCGCTTGTGACCATTTGTATCAGTGTCTGGCGGGCGGGAAAGGGTCGGACGGGATTGTGGCAGCATGGCAAGACATGGCGCTTACATTGAAACCCATCGCAATAAGCGAACCATCTACGGACTTTAATGACCTTGGTCAGCACCAGAGCGCTTCCCATCCGCTAGACCTTGTGGATGGCACCGGCTCAGATAAGGACTCGCCACAATCTGCACACCGGGTGGCCTCTCCACTTCCAGTGTCGGGCGCCGCAGCGGCGCTTGTCCGGATGCTGGCGGCCGAGTGACGTCCGAAAACACGAGCTGTCTATCGCCGATCTGTAACCGCGGCTCCGCTGCGGGCTGTGTATCCGCCAGTCTCTGCAGACGCCGCGACTCTCTCCGGCCCCAATCCCCGCCTCATTGTGCGACCTCTGTGGGACGCTCAGCTCAGCTCAGCTCGGCCCGGCTCGGTTCAGCTCGGCTCAGCTCAACTCAGCTCAGCTCAGCCCAGCTCAGTTCTGTTCTGTTTTGTTCTGTTTCTGTCTGTTCTGTTCTGTTCTGTTCTATTCTGCTCTGCTCTGCTCTGCTCGGCTCGGCTCGGCTCGGCTCGGCTCGGCTCGGCTCGGCTCTGCTCTGCCTTGCCCTGCTCTGCTCTGCTTTCATCTGCTCCGCTTTACTTTGCTCTGCTGTGTTCCGCCCTCTTCTCTTCTGTTCTGGTCTATTCTGTTTTGTTCCGTTTTGTTCTGCTATGCTCTGCTCTATCATCGGCTTGTTAACGGCAACAAGCCTCGACTGCGGTGAAAAACGGAGCCCGAGCCGGATTCTGGGTCTGGGAAGTTTGCGCCCGTCAGCAAACCCCTGCCCTCCAGTGATACTTTCTACCATGTGGTGCTCTGCCGCACGTTAATTTTCGTCGACCGGTCTGCCAGTGCTGCGCCGCGGGGTCTCGTGACACACGCCTCGTTCGGCGGCGGCGGAGGAGCCGCGCCTCGGAAGGCACCGGGCGCTGACGTCATCGCGCCGTACTTTGCCGCACCGTGACGAGGCTGCTCGAACAGGGGGAGGGGTACCTGATCGCCGGGCGTCGCCATCCGAGCGCTGTGCAGCCAGGTCTTCTGTGATAGCATTTCAAGGCAGCTCCGCGGGAGCGCGGTCGCACTTCGTACCGTGCCCTGTCGACGCTTACGCAATCTTGTTTTTGAGTCTTATTGTGTTCCGGTGCTGGAGCTGGCATCTGTCTGGCTTTGTCTGGCACACATAGTGTGAGGATGGTTGATTTTTTAGAGCATAACTTCGCACACCATGGTAATGGGGGCAAGAATTAGTTAATAGTTGCGTTAATGGCGCTTTCATATCACTACTGGCCCTTAATCTATGACATACAAAAAGGTTCTAGACTGACGACCTCATTCTTAAGTCCATAGATTATCAGTCGGCAGCTAGCCATGCAGGTTCCAACGAACTTGACATCACTGCATGCACAAACAAAAGCATACCTCTTGCATGAGTTTCGAATCTCTTCCTCTTGTGCATCATCTTGCATTGAGTCATCACTGTCTGAGCTGTCTTGGGACATTGCTTCATCTTTTGACTCCATGGTCATTCAATGCCTAAAACAAGCCAAGAAAGCTGTCAGGCACATTGCACGTACCAAGTGGGCCCCGCAGACATGTCAGCCATCGAATGAACATAGGCGATGGGCCGAATTGAGGAATCAAGAGGCATTTAAAGCGAGCATCCCACCTTTCGAACTTTTAACTTGTTGTCACATCACACGCGTAAAATTTGATCACTACTACGGTTTTCTCGAAGTCCTGAATAATTCAGAATTCCTATTTGAAGTGGCTGCTCCTGCGGGAGAAATCTTCTTCGACTCCCTGCTCACCGTCCTGAGAGTAATGCAATTCATTTGCCTCAATTTTTCCGTTCCAGCGTGTTAGTGTTCCGTAATGTTTGCCACACTAACGTGCCAAAATGTTGTGTAATAATGTTAATAATGTTATGTATACATGTTATGAAAGCTTGAAACATTCTGCTTAAACAAAACACATGCAAACATGAAGTCATTACCCCGCGCACTCAGCGAAACGCTATACCATGGCTTTCATTTCTCCCCTATGTGGTGTTTACCACATTGGCTGCTTTCGGGGTGAGCTTTGGGAATGGTAATGGGAGCATCACGTGGTCTATAGTGACGCACTTGTTCAGATTTCGTTTCTCGGTCACGGGCCATTGCCGCCCGCTGGACCAATGGCAAACGTTCTCTTATTCGAAGCAGTAGATGTGCGCACAGCGGTTGTCAAGACGGAGATGGTCGCGACTGCAGAGAACAGGCGTAGCGCTGTTACAAAGCGTTGACAGCGTGATTTGGACTTGAAGATAATTAAAAATGATGTCCTTATTATGTCTTGACAGTGCTGCATTGGCACTACCTAACTGGTCATGAGGTTTCACTGGGGAATTTCTTGTTTAATATACCCCAAAGGTGGGATACCCAAACTGCACCGATGTCCCCATCTGAAACACCCACGGTGTAGCAAAACATGTAGTGGATTAAGAATATATTTTCCCTGGTCCTTTTTAAAGCTGCTGTGATGCAATGTGAAACTTACTGTCATAAAGCAAGCACATAGTGAGGATATAACTGAATGTCGCACTTTGCAGCGAAAACGCCTGTACGATAGTAGCAGTAAGTCGCGCTGGGCAGCCTGGGACCAGCGAGGCAACAACAGATGTGAGAGGAAATGGTTGTAACCACGCGGAAGGACTAAGCTAACGGATCCAGACATCTGTGGCAGCAAATACGGATGGGTTAATTAATGCGGTGGAAAATCCGCTCCTCGTGAGGGTTTAACGTGACAGGGCCCACTGATGAAGCACTGACATGCTAATTCGCACATGACATCACTCGAAGACTGGCTGGTATGGACCTGGGCAAGCCCGGCAGTTCAATCGCCAGAATGGGTGATTCTGCCATGATTCGCGGTTTTAGTTCCCCTCACCATCGTATTGCAAAACCGCAAATGATTTGTGCAGATGTCGGTCACTCGGATCAGAATCACACACCTGTGCGGTCGTGGCCCCATCTCTCCTAGTTCATGCCACAGTGACTTGTGTTTTAGATTAGTGTCGGAAAACGTGTCATGGGCCACCTTTCAGTCGATTAGTGCCTGGGTTGAACAGGTTGTTACAGGTCGAACAGTTTTGAAATCTAGTGAGCTGTGAAGAACACATTTGTGCATGCTGTGTAGTTGGTCTCATGTCTTCACCTGCTTTGGTTGCTGAGATCCCACATCAATCCTTAAAATAGGGCTGATGCATGGTTTGCATGTGAGAGGGCATGAGCATTTACAAACTCATTTCATATGTACACCAACCTGATTTATGTCATTCCCCACCCCAGAATCTCTTCATACTATGCAGCTCTACCACCCAGTCATGAGACTTTGATCCAATTATGAGATGTGCTTCAGATCTTGTTTCCAATTTGTGAATGCTATAATTTCCATGTAAATTGAATGGGGATTTTGGTCATTTTGTGTGTGTGTGTGTGTGGTGATTTTGCAAGGTTGAAAGTCAATGAACAATATCAAGTAGCTTGCAAGCAATTGAATGTGGCACTTTAGAAACAATCTCACCTTGCTTGGCAAATGAATTCTTGTTCCTGGAAACTGCATCAATGTGCAATCAGTAGTTGCAAAGACACTATGCTCTAAAAAGTGTGACAGCCAGGCTGAAACAGCTCAGATTCGGAACTGTGTTGCAATAACAATAAGACTTGCTTAGCCTGAAGTATGCTCATAACTCCTGTAATGCATCACAATAAAATAGTCCTCAAGCAGCCAGACTGCAGCAAATCTAAGTGTGACCTTCAGCATGATTATGCAATGAAATATAGGATACATGTGGTGCCACAAGATATCAAGATTCACAGCAGACCAGCTTCTAATGTACAAAAAGACTGGTGAGAGCGAGCCGCATGATCCCTGATTGTCCACCAAAATATAATCCTCAATATGCTGTGGTCAGGTCACCAGTATCACCATATTTACCTTAGAGGCCTTACTGTATAAACCTCAATGCATTCATATTAAGCAATATAAATTGTAATGCAGGCTGTGACTTTAAATGATGGTCAGCTAGCTCAAAAATCAGTGCTCTAATGTCCATTAACCCTAAAAATATCATAGTACATTGAAACAATTGAAACCTTGCTGTGGCATCTCAGGGCTCATGGTGCTCAGGTTAGCTTGGAAGAGTTGCGTTAGATTCTACCCCTAGAAACATGCACGTTCTGAAGAAGTCTTACCAGCACA